TTTGAATGGTGGTTCCAACGTGTGAATGGTGAGTTATAGAAATTGATGATAAGATTCTACGTGCCCGTCATTAGATGTACCTATTTCGGATGTTTCGGTAGTCAGGGAAGTTCGACGGTGGTTCTATCAACATGATTCACTTTTTAATTTTTTTTCCATTTCGCGCTCATATGTCCGTTGATGGTGGCAAATATCAAAGTCGCAATTGCTTTCATACACTACCGGATGTGCTGGGTCGCCTTCCGGCGTTGGTGACACTTCGACTTGATCACAATCCCCTCGGTCCGGAATGCAGTCTCCAAGTGCTCACGGACGGCCCGGTTCATCTCAAACTTGAACACTTGTCGCTTAGAAGTTGCCAGCTTGCACAGACACCTGAACCGAAACAGCTCACTCCGGACCATATGCCCAACTTGTCTTCAATGGATCTCTCCGATAACGCCATTGGCAGCATTCCCGCTGAGTGGGGTCTTTGTACACAGCTACGGTTAGTCGCACTTCCTGACTCGTAGTTCTTTGTGTGTGAGTATATCATCCCAGTGTACCTTTCTCGCCATCGAAGAGGTATTAAAACGTAAATAGGCTTAATTAGAATCACTAGGTAAATATTTTTAAGCGTTGGCACCCCAATGTTTTGCATTCTGTATCTGTCTTAGTAACAGTCCTAGGCTTTCATTCATTCAGCAATCGATATTTTACTCGCCTCTCCGACAGGACTTCCACGTCCAGTGTGTTCAATATTCTCCCATCACTCTGATGATCTGTTGGTCAAATGAGTGGCAATCTCGATCTCAGTTCGTCAGGAACGTTTTCCAGTTAGGTTTTCCGATCTCCAGTGAACGAGCTAGAAGTAGAATACTGCACATCTTTTTTGGACATGAAACTCTATTAGAACGACAACTTTTTTGCCCGATTTTGTATTCATGGCACTTTTTGATATAAATTCGATGGCATCGTAATTCCTAAGAGCTTGAAAAAGAATCAAATATTGGATTTACAAAACCCATTCTGAGTCCGTGCGAGTGAATGTTTCTTCGTTTCGTTTTGCTCCATTTATCCCTAAGTGTTCGTGCCAAATTTCCTTCAAAGATCATAAGAAAATTCGGACTGAAATCGTGAACTAGGTGGAACAATGCGGACTTACTTTTTAGAGTTTTCTTCAAAATCATATTGAGTGAGGTACGTTTTTTGTGTAGGGGAGAACATGAGTAGGTTAGGACTGAAAGGATATTTCTGATTCACTGATTAGAGATGATAGCACACTTAGATTTGTAAATTTATACTGAAAAAATTAAAAATTCAGATATTTTCTGACCGTATGCTAATGGACTGCAGTATGCACCTGTACAGATGCAGCGAAATGATCCAGGATACGTTATGAAAACCTTTTTTCGCTTCTTTCTTCATATTTTCTTTATTTTCCTTCTCCCACAGATCACTACAACTGTCCGGGAACACATTCCGTATCCCGCGTCCAGCCATTCTCGCCAAAGGTACCGCAGCCGTGCTAGAATACTTGCGGTCACGCATTCCCACATGAGGTTTTTTTGCACCAGGTGGAACAAATGTCCCTCTCCCCCCAAAAAGCATATCGCCTGAGCATCATTCCCTCGCCGATTATTCGCAGTCTTCCCACTTCCTCTTTCTTCTTGTTTCTCGCGATTCGTCTTTTTGCACTGGCCCGTTCTGATTATGTTTCACAAAGTTTATCCGTGTTCATATTTGCCTTTTTTTGTCTCCTACAAGCCAAATCCGAAATACGCTTCAATCATCCTAATGGATCAGCTCTCGGTTTCTAACACACCAGGATCATTTATCATCGCATACCATCACTAACCAAAAGTCAAGAGAAGACACCATCGTGAATTCAAAGGAATGTAGAG